AAAGGTAAAGGAACCTGAATAGCTAATACAGTTTTGAAAAATAAGAATCAAGTATGAGAAATCAGTCTATCCAATTTCAAGGCTTAAGGAGAAGTGTATGTTCCCAGCAAAGGGAGCAATAAAGGCACTGAAGCACAAGACAGGAAAGAGCCTGCTAGGACTGAGAGGAAGAAGATTAGTGAGTCAAGAGCACTTGCAGGAAGTACACCAACAAAAATGAAGCTGGAGAACTAGGCAGAGGCCAGACTGTATAGGGCATTGTCCGCTATGTTTGAGTTTCTCTGCTAAGGGTCGTGAGAAATGGTTAAGACTAATCTAATTCATGGAGTTGGGAGAGATTACTGGTCAGACTTGCTTTTAGAAAAGATTATGCTGGCTGCCATGTAGAGATCAGGTTAGAAGAGGTACAAGTGATTTATGTAGATCATTTAGGAACTTACTGTCGTAAGCCAGGCTTTTTATTCCTGAAGATTTTCATTGGTTATTGCTATAATCTTCATAACTCTGCAAAAATATATTTTCAAGCTATTACCTATAATAATAAAAGCATAATATGCTAATTAGACCTGACATCTTTCCGGATGACCTTTCGGACAAAGCCGGGGTGTGAGGAAAGCCCGGGTCCTGGGTGCCCACCGGCAGCCGGAGGGAAGCTGGTGCTGGCAGCCAGGGGAAGGAAGGCCTACCCTTATACGAATTTCGTGCCTCTAGTCCAGCAGTTCTCAACCTGTGGGTCACAACCCCTTTGCGGGTCAAAGGACCCTTTCACAGGGTAAGACATCCTATATAGCAGATATTTACATTACAATTCATAACAGTAGCAAAATTACAGTTATGAAGTAGCAACGAAAATAATTTTATAGTTGGGGGTCACCACAACAATAGGAACCGAATTAAAGGGTCACAGCATTAGGAAGATTGAGAACCACTGCTCTAGTATATTATAATGTTTTGAATATATTTTTGACAATTAAAAAGGAAAGATGACTAGGATTTTTTGCATATTTTTTTAATATGCAAAATTTCAGTTCTGTATTATGATTTAAATATTTGTTTGTGGGCAAGCCTGGGAATTAAGTTTAGAGTCTAAAAAGATTTAATTGGTGTCCATATTGCTTCTTTATATTTTCTTTATTGCTGGGACTGACCAACAGCCCCTGAATGACGGATGAACAGATTACTCTGACACAATTTGACTGTGAAAAAGAGGGCTAAGGGGCCCCTGGCCTTAGCAGCCAGGACAGCCTAGATTGCCTGCCTTCTTAGCCTTTTATTGGAATCTTTATCTTCAGATACAATGAATAGGCAGAGTAATCTTGGCAGTACACATGTGTTTACATTGTCTTTTAGGCAAGGGCATCCACAGATTAAGCATAAGGATTCCAACAAACACCTGGGGTCTGCACATGCACAGAATTATTTGGAAAGGAATAATTGGGCACAGACTTCGACATTTCCCTAAGTCTCCCTTAAGTCAGAATTCCGATAAATAGGTGAGGCAGCCTTCCACACACTTCCCTTTTATCAGAATGTCCTCCTTACAACTTTCCAACCAAGTCTTTTGTGCTCCCCAACACTTTGTGCTATCATAGAATTTTAAATACTTTATAGCAGTGATGTTCTATAAAAATATGTGTTGTAACTGCAAGCCATATATGTAATTTTAAATTTCATAGGAGCCACATTATAAGGTAAAAAGGAAATGATGAGATTAATTTTAGTAATATATCTTTTTAACCCAGTATGTCTAAAATATTATTTCAACATGAAATCAATATAAAATTATTAATGAAATATTTGATTTTTTTAAAATTAAGTCTTAGAAATCCAATAGATGTTTTACCTTAAAGCACATCTCAATTTGGACTAGCCATGTTTCAAGGCTAGTGGCTACTGAACAGTGTATACAGCTCTATAGGTTTCTAGAGTAGGTTTTTAAATTTTTTTTTTTGATTGGGGGTAATTGTGGAAGACAGAATTTCAAGATGACCCCCAACATCTGCATCCCCTGGAATACAGATGTCTCTTCCCAGTTATTCAATCACACATGAAGTGGCTGCTTTGCAGTGATCTTGCAGATGTAAAGTCTCAAGTCAGCTGACCTTAAATAGAGAGATTACACTGAGTGAATCTGATCTAATTAGGTTAGTTTTGTTTGTTGGTTAAGTTATCAAATTTATGGAAATAATAGCTCATATAGGCCTGAGTTTAGTAAACTTTTGGGATAGAGCTGGTTGCTCTTGTTATAAAGAACAGTGTGACGTTCTAGATGTCTCAGAGGTGTTAGTGCAATTAAGTTTTTTAAGTATTATGAAAGAGTGAATTTGCCAGTTAACACTTATGGTTCTTGAGGGACTTTTGGGGATAAAATGGAGGAGACACGTTGGAACTTGCTGATTGAGGTCACAGTATACAGAAAACCTGTAACTAATTTTTATTTGCTGTATGATATATATATGAAGCCCTTTTAGTGTGATTATCACATAAAGAAGTGAAGAATAGAATGTCTGTTCTTTGCAAAATCTTAGTCTAAATGCTTTGATACATCAGAATTAAAATGTTCTGGAACTGTTAATGATTTTTTTCAAAGCCTTTGGTTATTTACTCAAGAGCCACGTATTTAATTTGACTGCCTCTTTGGACACTGCAAAATTCTTAGTATGCATAGCTGTTTTATACTATTCTACTTTAACATTTACCTTAAATATAAAAACTCTTGCTTTAATTAGTAAGTTGTAACAAATTCAGTATGTAATAATAGGCCATCTTTGGTAGAGGTAACCATAAAACAGCAATAAAGTTGTAAAGCATTACATATTAAAAATTTTCTTTGTAATTTATGTGCTAGTTTTTAGTTGTTCTCCATAGACCAGATTAATGCTGTTATAGAGAATATTTGTCTATTGAAAAATCAATACATGTGTATTTTTTACTTTATTGCTTGGATAAATAATTTGACATTTATTATCCATCTATTATGTATCCGTTACTACCTTATGCGAGAATGAAGATATGTTCTCAGGGAGCTCTCACACGTCACCTTCTCTAAATTAGGAAATGTATGCAATAAATCTGTTTTAAAAAGTGATATTTTATTTTTCTAAAAAATGCATAAAAGCTTTGCAAATATTTTTTACTTATTATAGCTCTTTGAGGTTAATTTCCATGTGAGGAAGGAGAATTTAATGAGGACAAGAGATTGTCTGAAAACACTTCAGGTCTTCAGGACTAGAATTTAGCACTAGAATTTGAGGATGGTTCCATTCATTGTTTATTTTCTGTAGGTACTTATGCTATGTAGTAAGTCTTATTTTACTGCTTTTGTTATTGGTGGAAGTGGAGCTCTTGGGGTGCCAAAGGGAAAATAATTTCCTGAGTCCCCCACAGGAGGATGGGGTTTTATGGAAAGTTTTATTGATGATGTAAAATTAAGGGGGTTCTGCTCCGAGGTCCTGTCTCCTTTTGTCCTGCCATGGAAAATGTCAAATCATGTCATCAGCAGGCTAGGATTAAGGCCACTGCCAAGAATTTCTGCTCCATATTAAAGTCCATTTCAGTCCAGCATTTGGCTAGCTTAGCTTGTGTTCCTGCTGCAGTCAGTCCATTGTGTGTGGGGTCTGCATGGCCATGGGCAGTGCAACTGGTTGAGGGAATAGATAAGCACCCAGGGTGATTGCTAGTCACAGAGCAAGAGATAAAAGGAGACAAGGGAGAGGGTACTCTTTGGGGATTTTTTTTTAAAATTGATATTTAGGGAGAGAGTTTAGAGGAACATCGGTGTGAAAGCAAAACATCGATCTGCTACCCCATGCACATCTGGTTCTGGCGATCCAGCCCTCAACCTGCGCATGTGCCCTGATCAGGAACAGAACCTTTTGGTGCACAGAATGACATGCAACCTACTGAGTCACAAGGCCAGGGCTCGCTGGGTATTTTAAACCTTCCTAGATTTTGCAGGCTTGCATTGGCTCTATCCTCCTTGCCGTCCATTGTTTCCCAGGCTAGACTGATAGGCAATCCATCCCCTACATCACCTGGACTTCACTGCGCATGGGTCCATCTCCCCCTTGTTAGATCCCTTCTCCCAGTGGTTCCCTGGGGAGTCTGAAGCTGTAGTTATGATGACCAGATGAGCATGTTTATAATGCTTGGCCTCCCCTTTGCTCCCTTCCTACTATTATTAATAAACCCTAGGTAGTTGCCACAGTAACATTTTTATGACTACCTTGCAAGTCCCACACATGAACCTTCCAAGTCTGTTGCTAATGTCTACCAATTTGATGTTGAGCAAGTAGGTAGATGTATTTAAAAATTTAAGCCACGAGTAATACTATTTTTAAAATATAGAGAGTAAGAACAATGAAAATGTATGCTTGTTTAGTATGATCTGCTTTAAAAAAAATGAAAATTGTTACATATTATCATAGCTTCCATGGCTGATACCTATTTAACTATGGCCTCTGAAGATTAAATTTTAAAATGGAGAAAAGAGAATGAAATTAATATTTAAAGTTAGCATTTGTCCCTGCTAAAATATACAGAAGGGACAGTCTCACTTTTAGACCTGGTACGCCAACCATCTTTTTCTTTTGACCTGTGGCCAACTATTTTGGAAATCCCTCCAGAGATAGTCTGTACATGCACAAGCAATTATGTACTGTATTCACCCCATCCCCACATGTATTGTATACTGTAAACACTACTCTGTACTTTGTTCTTTAACTTAACAGTTGACTTTGTAGATTATTCTATACCACTAACTGAAGATATTCTTCATTCTTTTTTACAGCTGCATAATGAAAATAGAATTATTAAATCATCCTAAAAGACTTCACATGACAGATGTTTAGCAATTGTTAGAGTGAATGAACTTAGTATTTTTTTCAATACAGAAGTCAGAAATTTCCTTCATCATGTTAAACTGGACAGTTTTTATTATATGTTGGGAAAATTTTAAAACAATTTCCCCTCTTTTTTCTTTCAGATAACCAAACAGCTCAATGGAGTCTGAGCAGCTGTTCCATAGAGGCTACTATAGAAACAGCTACAACAGTATAACAAGCGCAAGTAGCGATGAGGAACTTTTAGATGGAGCAGGTGTGATTATGGACTTTCAAACTTCTGAGGATGACAATTTGTTAGATGGGGACACAGTAGTTGGTAAGTTTAGCATTGCAACTCTTAATATTTGTAGTCATGAATATCTACAAATCAGTATATACTTGTTTTACTGAGGTTGCATATTGGGGTAACTTTAAATTGAGGTGATTCATGTAACATAGAACCACTTTTAAAGTGTACAATTCGGTAGTATCTAGCACTTGCATAATGTTGTGCAAGTACTTCTTTCTAGTTTCAAACATTTTCATTACCCCAAAAGAAAAGCTTATATTTGGATAAACTTTAAAATTAAATATAACTTAATGCAGAAATGTATACAGCTTTAATTGGGGTTCTCAAATAAACAGAACTAATAGGACAAATATTGATATGCAGGAAGAGATTCTTTTATGAGTGATGGGCTCACATGATTGTGGAGGCTGAGAAGTCCCATGGCCTGTCATCTGCAAATTGGAGGCCTAGGAATGTTGTTGGTGTAATCCTTGTCCCACCCCTTAAGGCCTGAGAACCAGGGGAACCAGTGGAGAAGTCCCAGTTTTAGTCTGAGTGCCCCAGGTCCAAGAGCGCTGATGTCCAAGGGCAGAAGGACATAGATTATATCCAGCTCAAGCAGAAAGCAAATTCAACCTTTCATTTGCCTTTTTGGTCTATTTAGATCCTTAATCGATTTTATTTATGATACCCTCTTTCATTGGTGAAAGCATCTTTTTTCAGTCTCTCAATTCAAATGCTAATCCCTCTGTAAGGATCTTCATAGACATATACAGAAATAATGTTTTACCAGCTATGTGGGCAGCCCTTATCCCCCAGTAAAGATGCATAAAATTAACTATCACAACAATGATCAAGTTCTAAGTGTGGAAATTGATGAATTTCTATAAAGTGAACACTTCATGTAACTACCCTTGTATCAATAAACAAACATTATCAGGACCCCCCAAATCCTTCTTTGTTCCCCCTTCCAGTTTCAAAGTAACTACTATTTTGATTTCTATTACTGTAGTTTAGTTTTGCAGGTATATACCTTTATCTAAATGGAATTATACCACATATGTATATAAATAAAAGCCCAGCGACCAGAACAGTGGAACAACCAGAATGATCAGATGACTGGTGGCTATGACACACACTGTGGCAGCCGGCCAGCTTGATCCAAGCCCTGATCGGCCCCAACACCCCAATCAGGTGGGGCCAGATGGCCAACTGCCCACGGCCCCTCCCCCACTCTGGCCTGATGGGTCCACATCAGAGCCGGCTGGCTGGATCCCACCTGTGCATGAATTCCTGCATTGGGCCTCCAGTATCTATACTAATAAAAGGGTAATACATTAATTAAACTGGAGACCTTCCGGACATCCTTCTGGACAAAGCCATGGTGGTGGGGCTGAGGCAGAGGCAGTGGCAGTTTTCTGATGGTCTTAGGTTCTACAGCAGCGGTTCTCAACCTTTTCCCCCAGCTGCCCTTCCCTGCAAGCCCGGTTGACCCAGCTCTCCTCCTCTGCCAGCCTGGTCACCCCCAACTGCCCTCCCCTGCTAGCCATCTTGTGTTCACATTGGGCAGCCATATGTTGTTGGAGTGATAGTCAATTTGCATATTACTCTTTTGTTAGATAGAATAGAGGCCCGGTGCATGGGTGGGGTCCAGCTGGTTTGCCCTGAAGGGTGTCCCAGATCAGGGTGGGGGTTCTCTTGGGGTGTGGAGTGGCCTGGGTGAGGGGCCTGTGGTGGTTTGCAGGCCAGCCATGCCCCTCGGCGACCCAAGTGGAGGCACTGATATCTGGCATTTATTTATCTTCTGTACTTGAAACTTTGTAGCCTTGAGCGGAGCCAAGCCTCCTGCTTATTCCATGGCTGCAGCCATTTTTATTGGGATTTATTTATCTTCTATAATTGGAACTTTGTAGCCTTGAGTGGAAGAGGCCAAGGCAGGCCAGGGCTGCGGAAACTTGGCTTCCTCCATCACCTGGTGGCAATTTAAGCTTCCTGTTCTCGCCAGCTCCGTGGTTGTCGCCATTTTTGTTGGGATTTATTTATCTTCTATAATTGAAACTTTGTAGCCTTGAGTGGAGGCCTGGACCTGCCAGGGTGTGCCGAAAGCTTGGCTTCCTCCATCGCCGGGGAAACCCAAGCATTAAACTTTAACTTGAGTTACCAGTCCTCTTCCCTAAGCAAAAGCGTGGGAGGGGGGGAGTTCAAATATAATTGTAAAGCACCTATACTTAATGGTAAGCTACAGTTAATCTGACACTTTTAAGAGTAATATATTTAGTTTGAGGAGTAAAGGATATAATTTTTGTTAATATTTATCTCACACAAGTGATTATATTGGCATTTTAAAAATGTTAAACACGTATAGGGAAAAGTATTATGTACGTTCTTATTTTATCATTTATGTTAAATAACTATCAACTCATGGTCAATTTTGTTTCATCTCTACTTCTTGTAGTGTTGTTTAATATCATGTAGCATGATTCTTTCAACTTTGATCTTCTTTTTAAAAATTGCTGTGGCTATTCTGGGTTTTTTTAGTTCCATATAAATTTTTGGAATATTTGTTCCTGTTCTGTGAAATATGCAATTGGTATCTTTATAGGAATTGTGTTGGATCTGTAAATTCATTTGGGTAGTGTAAATATTTTAAGGATATGAGCACAGTATATGCTTGTTTGTCTTTTATTCAGTTTTTTTTCTTCAGTGTCTTTTAATTTGCTAAGTTCAGTTCTTATACATCATTGTTAAATGTATTCCTAGGTATTTTATTTTTTTGTTCACTTGTAAATGGGATTCTTTTCTTAGTTTCTCCTTTTGATAATTCATTATTGGTATATAAAAATACAACTGATTTCTGGACATTTATTTTGTGTCCTGCTACTTTATCAAATTCCTTTTATCCGTTCTAGAATTTTTTGGTGGAATCTTAAGGGTTCTCCATGCTATCTGCAATAATGACAGTTTTACTTCTTCCTTTCCAATTGGAATGTTTTTTATTTCTTTCTCTTGTCTGATTGATGTGGATAGGCCTTTCAATATTTCGTTGAATAAGAGTGGTTAAAGTGGATATCCCAGTCTTCTTCCCGATATTAAGGAAAACATTTGTATTTTTTGCTCATTGGTATAATGTTGGCTCTGGGTTTGTCATATATGTATTTATTTATGTATTTATGTATTTATTTACTAGTGGCTTGGTGCATGAAATTTGTGCATGGGGGTGGGGGTGAGGTGTTCCTCAGCTCGGCCTTTACCCTCTCCAATCTGGGAGCCTTTGAAGGATGTCCTATTGCCAGTTTATAGGGATTAGGCCTAAATTGACAGTCGGATATCCCTTTCACAATCTGGGACTGCTGACTCCTAACCGCTCACCTGCCTGCCTGCCTGATTGTCCCTAACCACTCTACCTGCCACCCTGCTCGCCCCCAAATGCCCCAGCCCTGCCAGCCTGATCACCCCCAACTGCCTCCCATGCCAGTGTGCTCACCCCCAACTGTCCCTTCTGCCAGTTTGCTCACTCCAACTGTCCCCCCTGCTGGCCTGCTCACCTCCACCTTACCTCCCCACTGGCCTGCTCACCCCCAACTGCTGCCCTGCTGGCCTACTCCAAACTGTCACCCTCCCTCCTTCCTCCTCCCACTATCCTGATCACCTCCAACTGACATCCTGCTTGCTCCCAACTGGCCCCCCTGCTGGTCTGCTTACCCCCAAAAGCCCTGTCCCCACCAGCCTGATCACTCACAACTGCTGTCCAATCCTGGCCCAACTGCCCCCCTGCTGGCCTGCTCATCCCCACCTTTCCTCCCCCACTGGCCTGCTCATCCCCAACTGCCCCCCCTGCTGGCCTGCTCATCCTCACCTTCCTTCCCCACTGGCCTATTCACCCCCAAATGCCCCCCTGCTGGCCTGCTCATCCCCACCTTTCCTCCCACTGGCTTGCTCAGCCCCAACTGCCCCCATGCTGGCCTGCTCACTCCAAACTGCTCCCCACTATGCTGATCACCTCCAATTGACCCCCAGTGACGTCCTGCTTGCCCCCAACTGGCCCCCCTGCTGGTCTTCTTACCCCCAATGGCTCCACCCCCCACTAGCCTGATCACCCACAACTGCCCTCCCCTAATTGTAATTTAGTTTGTTAATCTGGTAATACTAAATCTGTGTCAAAGTCCTCTCTTGCCACACCTTCCAACCTTTATCCTTTTCTAAAGTCTAATTATGAAGCATTGTAGCCTGAGTAATAATTCTTACAAGTGGCAGCCATGGATCCCATAAACGAGAATTGTTTACTTTTGAAATGTAAAAAAGTCCAGATTTCTTATTATAAAAGTAATATATTTATGCAAAAAGTAAATATATGTTTGCTTAAAAATTTAAAACAATGTGGAACTATATAAAGTAAACACTACATGTGCCATCATCCTCTCCACTCCACCTCATTCCTTCCTCAGTGATAACAATTGTTGAATTTGGTGTGTGGCATTCTAAACTGAACTCTATAAAAATACATACAACTTACATATTGTATATACATATACACATATAAAGTTTTTGATAACTAAAAATAATTAAAATTACTTATAAATAACTTTTACTTATATTAAATATAACATATTTTATAAAGAAGGTATTCTTCCCTCTCTAGCTAGTGCTAGCTAGCTATCATTTTCACTTTTCCTTTGTGACCAAGTTGTAAGTCAAGAAAAACAAGAGTGTGTCTACAAATACCAGGAAAACTTGTAGTTAGATTTTCATTTTACATAATGGCATGAAAGAATGGAAATAGTATCATAAAAATTAAATTATTTATGAATGTCATATAGTATATAGTTTTTAAAAGTTTTATTATAGTAGAACTTTATCAAAGGACCACAAAGGACCAAATTTAATGTAATAAAGTTAGTCCTTTGTCAAAGCTTTCCTTATCTATAAAAACTATTTCCAAGAAAATTTAAAACAAACAAACAAAAAAACTCCCAAAAAGTCACAAAGTCAAATCACATTAATAGCCAGAATAGATTTTATGATATGAATTCTAGTCTGTATTCCTTTTC